AAAATAAATATAGAGTGGATAAATAGGAAACAAATAATAGTCTCATAGCCATAAACCTGAAGATATCAGGTGTCACGCTAATTGTGAATGGTGGAGATGCTCTAATTAGAAGACAGAGATTATAATCAGGATTAAAGTAAAACAAAATGAATTAGAACCAACTTTATATTACTTATGAAAAATAAACATTAACTATTAAGAACAAAAAGATTCAAAAGAAAAAAATGGCAAAATACATACCATGGAAATATAAACTTAAGAAAAACTATTATACCTATGCTAATATTAGGTAATGAAGAATTTGAGGTGAAGAAAATTTGTAAAAAGATGGAAACTTCATAATTTTAAAACTCTGAATTCAACTAGAGTATACAACAACCTTAAATTTAAATGCAACTAATAACATAGTCTCAAAATATATAAACTGAAGACTGTCATCAGAACTAAAAGGAAAAATAAATAAGCCTACAATCAAAGTTGAAAAATTTCATATCTTTCTTAGTAATAAAACTCACTAAGTGTTAAAGAAGATTTGAACAACAAGGTTTACAAACTTGACCTAAAAATCACAGGCATATGGCAATCTTTAAAATAACACATTGGTTAAAAAAAATACAAAATAAAAAAAAAACACATTCGTAAAATAAATAAAAATAAGAAAAAAGAATGTTTTGAATATTTGAGTATTCAATTTTTTGATCAATAAAATGTGACATTAGAATGTAGATGAATCAGTTTTTAGAAGAGAATTTATAATTTTAAAAGCATTGGGAAAAGCTGAAAAATTGATGATCTAAGTATTGAGTTCAAAAGACTGGAAAAAGTAGAAATTAAAATAAAGAAGGAAAAGTGAAATTAATAAAATAAAAAGTAAATATAAAATAGAGAAAATAAAGTGGCCAAGAGAGACCATTATAATTTATAAACATACTACAAATCTGATTAAGGAAAAAAAGGAAAGGTGCAACTTAGTATCAGGAATGAAAAATTTGAAACCAATAATATGGGCATTAAATATAAGTACAGTAAATTTATAACAATGAATTAATACCATTTATTAAAGCTGGTATAACAAAACTTACTAAATCTACATCTGAATAATCTTGTGTCCATTGAATACACTGAAACTGTAAAATTTCCCCATAAGAAGAACTCTGGGTAAGAAGGACTCATGGGGTCAGCAAGATGTCCCTCCCAATAAAAAATGATATGACAGCCATGTACAGACAAAAATGTCTTTTTTTTATAGGAGCTTTGGGATTCAGATAGGAGACTGTAAAACTCCACTGAAGCCCAAAACTAAAGAGAGCCACTTTGAGAAGGCAGGACAATGAGCTAGAGGCAGGTTTGCCAAACATGGCCCCAGTTGCAGACTGAAAGAAGTCCCATATCCCTATGGCCTTAGCCCCACTCCCCCTGGTCTTACAATTAGCCCCTTCTGCCTCTGACCCTGGAGAACTGCAGGTGAGGAGCCCCTGGCTCCAATCAGAGCCCAAACAATACTTTTTAGAGGATATCAATGGAGAATAACTTTGTGATTTGGGGTTAATAGAAATGTATTAACTAGGGCTTAACTATTAAATAAAAAAATTGGTAAGTTGAACTTACTAAATCTATAAGCTTCTGATCATCAAAAGACACTATTGAGAGAGTGCATTCCACAGACTGGCAGAAAATATTTGCAATACATATATCTAAAGAAGAATTCACATGCAGAATACATATACTGCATAAAAGAGAATGGCTAAATGACTAATAAGTGTATGTAAAGATGTTCAACATTAGTCACCAGGAGAAAAAAAAAAACAACAAATTGAAAGAATGATGAGATACCTTTGCACACACATCAGAAGGTGTACAATTAGTGTTCTAAAAATAACAATGCTAAGTATAGGCAAACCTATGGAGGACCTGTATTTCTTGTAAAAAGCTGGTGTTTGTATAAAATTGGTATAAATCCTTTGGAAAACTCCTTCGCATGACCTATTATGCTGAATGTACACATATTATGGATCCAAGAATTCCATTCCTAACTATGCTTAACATAC